CATCCTGGCCAACATGGTGACACCCCATCTCTAGTAAAAATACAAAAATTAGCCAGGCATGGTGTCATGCACCTGTAATCCCAGCTACTCAGGAGACTGAGGCAGGAGAATTGTTTGAACTTGGGAGGTGGAGGCTGCAGCAGCACTGCACTCCAGCCTAGGCAACAGAGCAAGACTCCATCTCAAAAAAAAAAAAAAAAAAAAAAAAAAGGAAGAAGAAATCAATAAAACAATGCCATTGACAATAGCTAGTAAAAAAATCAAAATACTTAGGAATAAATTTAACCAAGGAGATTAGCCATTCTACAATGTATACACATTTTAAAACATTATGTTATACATCATAAATATATACAATTTTAACTTGTCAATTAAAAATAAATAAGCCTGGGCAACATAGTGGGACTTTGTCACTACAAAAATAAAAATAAATTAGCCAGGCATGATGGTGTGTTTCCTGTGGTCCCAGCTACTCCAGAAGCTTAGTTGGGAGGATTACTTGAGCCCAGGAGTTTGAGACTGCAGTGAGCTATGATTGTGCCACTGTACTCTAACCAGGGCAACAGAGTGAGACCCTGAATCTGTAAGTAAAATAAGTAATGAAAAAAGTATATAGCTAAAAATTAGAGGTGTCAGTGTATGTAAATTTTATGGAAAAGAACCATATGATGATGATGATGATGATGATGGAGTGAGGTGGTAAAGAATGGGTAAACATATCAATGATGTTTTTTAAAATGGCAGAATTGATAATTGAGCTGCTATTTTATTGTCTGTGTATGGTAGGGTTTTTTGTTTTTGTTTTTTGAGACTGGATGTGCCTCTTTCACCCAGTCTGGAGTGCAGTGGCACAGTCCTGGCTCCCTGCAACCTCCACCTCCCAGTCTCAAGTGATCCTCCCACCTCAGCCTCCCGAGCAGCAGGGACTGCAGGTGCCAGCCACCACGCCCAGCTAATTTTTGTATTTTTTGTAGAGAAAGTATCTTGCCATGTTGCCCATGCTGGCCTTGAACTCCCAAGCTCAAGCGATCCACCCACCTCAGCCTCTCAAACTGCTGGGATTACAGGTGTGAGCCACCACACCTGGCCTCTATGCATGTAAAAGTTATATAATGTGAAGAAATTAAAAAAGAAACAATAGTCTTATATTTCTGAGGACATTTACCAATTATGGTCATTCCATTCTTTTCTATAAATCCAAATTATCTGGTGTAATTTTCCTTAAGACTGAAGAATTTGTTACCATTTTTAATTCAAAAATTATTTTTAATTGAGAAAATGGTATATATTTGTCATGTACATTACGTTTGAAACACTGTGGAATGGCTAAATCAACATAATTAACATACGTATTACATCATCTTTTTTTTCTGGTAAGAACACTAAGAATCCTGCTTCATAGATATCTCCAAGAATATAATACATTGTTATTAACTATAATCCCCATGTTGTACAATAGACCTCCAAAAATATAATACATTGTTAAGAACTATAGTCCCCATGTTGTACAGTAGACCTCCGAGAATGTAATACATCATTATTAACTATTGTCCCTCTGTTGTACAATAGAACTTACTCCTTCTAACTGAAATTTTGTGTCCTTTGACAAACATCTTCCCAATACCCCTCTCCCCAGCCTCTGGTAACTACCATTCTACTCTCTACTTCTATTAGTTCAACTTTTTTAGATTTTACATGTAATTGAGATCATGTGGTATTTGTTTTTCAGGTTTATCCATATTGTCACAAATGACAAGATTTCTTTCTTTTTAAAGGCTGAATAGGTCACATTTTCCTATTTCTTTATATGTCTAGTATTTTTTTGATTGGATACTTGGGATTTTGAATGATGCATTTGAGAGATTGCGGATTCTGTTTTGCTTTTCTGAAAAAGAATTTTTATTTTAGAAGCCTGTTAACTTGACTGAACTCAGACTCCAAACTGTCTCCTCTGTAGTGGTAGTGCTGAAATCTTTACTTAGTTATTTCATTTTTCAGTGATTGATTTTCTGTCATGATTCTTGGGTTTCCCTCCCTTGCCTCATGATTAGTTTAGTGATTAGCACAGGTCTTGGGAGGATTTTATATACAAATTTTGGGGTTTCCTCCTCTTTGGCTCCCTCCCTTTTATGAAATCTCTCCTAAATATCTGATAGTTCTGCCAGCCTTGAACTCTGTTATCTATGTTAAGCCAGTAAGACTTGGCTTCCTGCCTAACCGACCCCCAGTGGTAAGCAGATTTAGCAGTACCCTCAGTCATAAAACCACAAATATGCAAATCCCACCTTTTGCAGATTTATCCTCCCGGTCACTTGCTCCCTTTGCCAGGGACCATGTGCCCTCTGCAGGCAAGATAGTTTCCAGAAATGGAGGAGTCGAGTTTTTGATGTCCAATCAGATAAGTTACTCTTTCTCTTCCAAAGAGATACTGAGAGAGTGGTTGCCGAGGACAGGAGTATATTGTTTGAACTACATCAACATGGAAGTTGACGCAGGGAAGAGGTATTCTCTTCTGATACTCCCTAGTATTTTGTTCTCCTAATTGAGCTTAAACCTGCAGTCAGTTTAGTAGAAGAGATTAACAGTTTGTCATATGGTTGGACTGCTGATAAGTCTTATAAAATTGGGAGGGGAGGGAAGGAGAAGGAGGACTGAAAGCAGTTGAGAGCAACCAAAAGAAGAAAGAAACTGGATGGGAAAGAAAAACTAAGTTTCTCTCAAGACACTCGATGTGTCAGAACAATATAATGCTTATATCAAATCCGTTCTCCCTAGGTACCCAAATTAAATTCCCTCTCTATTCCAAATAATGTCCAGACAAATTTTCCAGGATAACATATTAAGAGATTTGGCAATTAAATGGTGACTAATATGTACTGCCCAGGAATGTAGGAGGATATCCAAAGGATAATAATCCAGAGGGTATCTGGAAAATTGGCCACTTTGTGGACTTTACAGCTTGTCCTTGTTCTATTTTATGCTTTTTATTTAAATCTGCTTTGTCTGATACTAATATAGCTATTCTAATTTCATTTTGTTTCTATTTACCTGGTATATCTTAACTCATATCTTTATTTTTATGTTTCTATGTCATTTTATTTTAAGTAGATCTCAAATAGCATATAGTTGGATTTCGATTTTTGTTTTTTATGATTTGAGATTCTTTGTATTTAAAAAGAAGTTTGCATCTATCATACTAAATAATATAATTGTTCTTCTTCTTCCATCTTCTTGTTTTGTACTTTGTGTTATATGCCTTACTCCTGTTTTTCCCACTCAGTCTTTTGCTTTTGCCCAAGTTTTTCTGGCTCTTTTGTTTTACCCCTAGTAATTTGGAGATTAAACATTCTATTTTTATTTAATTAGTAATTACTTAAAATTAAAAGAAAATGAACCTCTATTTCTTTACTAACATGAAAAATACACTAGCATCTATCAATGTGTTTGGAAATAACGAGTGAGTCACATACTTTAGTATTTCCCTTTTGTTCCTACTCTTACAGTTTGTTGGAATAATTTGAGCTTTAGATCCAAACTGTTATTAGTATTTATTCTTTTTATATATCCTTAAGAAATACTTTTCACATTTGCATTTCCTTATGTAGCCACGTTAACCTTGTTAAGAATAACTTCTTAGAGGTTATTTTATTTTATTTTATTTTTTGGGACGGAGTCTTGCTTTGTTACCAGGCTGGAGTGCAGTGGTACGATCTTGGCTCACTGCAACCTCTGCCTCCTGGGTTCAAGTGATTCTCCTGCCTCAGCCTCCTGAGTAGCTGGGATTACAGGTGCGTGCCACCACGCCCAGCTAATTTTTTGTATTTTAGTACAGACAGGGTTTCACCATGTTGGCCAGGATGGTCTCGATCTCCTGACCTCGTGATCCACCCACCTTGGCCTCCCAAAGTGCTGGGATTACAGGCGTGAGCCACCACGCCTGGCATATGTTAATTTTTATGTTTACATTTTATAATGTCCATCTGTATTTCTTTTATAACATATCTTCCCTTATACCTAAGGACTTTATTTGTGTTGATTTATTGGACATTAAAATATTTCTTTGAGTGATTTTTAAAGAGTATGTGTTGGAATCTGCATATCTGAAAATATTAAATGGATGTTTGTCTGACATGGCAATTATAACTATAGGAAATCTTCCTAAGGAAATGATAGTAGTATGTAAAGATGTATGTACAAGTTTATTTTGCAGTTTTATTACAAAAGCAAAACTTAGAAAGTAATAAACATCTATAAATAGATACCAGTCAAATAAAATATAATTTTCTCTAGACATAACTGCAAAATCTTGTTTTATTACCTTTGTCATCTAAAATTAATATAAATATAATCTTTTGCCTGTTTCATGTGCAAGTTGAAATTGTAACATACATTTAGACCATATAAAGCAAGCATTAGCATGTCAGACTGAGAACATCAATAGTAGGGGCCGGATGTGGTAGTTCACACCTGTAATCCCAGTGCTGCATGAGGCTGAGGCAGGAGCTTGCTTGAGCCCACGTTATCGTGAACTATGATTGCACCACTACATTAGAGCCTGAGCGATGGAACGAGACCCTGACTCTAAAAAAAAATTATATTTAGCACCTTTTTTCCATTTGTCAGATTAAATATTGGCTAGCTAAACGTATTTATTATTGATTTTTTTTTTTTTTTTTTGAGACGGAGTCTTGCCCTGTCTCCCAGGCTGGAGTGCAGTGGCACGATCTCGGCTCACTGCAAGCTCCACCTCCCGGGTTCACGCCATTCTCCTGCCTCAGCCTCCCGAGTAGCTGGGACTACAGGTGCCTGCCACCACGCCTGGCTAATTTTTTTTGTATTTTTAATAGAGACAGGGTTTCACCGTTTTAGCCAGAATGGTCTCGATCTCCTGACCCTGTGATTCACCTCCCAAAGTGCTGGGATTACAGGCATGAACCACCGTGCCCGGCCTATTATTGAGAATTTTTACAAGAAGTTTAATTTTAGTCTGTTCATTGTAGTCACTCCATGGATTCCTTTGGGCAACCCAGACCAGAAGATAATCAGTCAGTAGTCAGCAGAATGCAAAAGAAATACTGGAAAACTAAACAGGTCTTTATCAAAGCAACAGGAAAAAAAGAGGATGAGCACTTGGTGGCGTCTGATGCTGAACTGGATGCTAAACTTGAGGTAAATTTGAGCATTCTATGTATTGCATATAACCGGCCATTATTTGGGGCTCCAAGGGGGACTGCAACAAGTTTTCACACTGGAGAGCTTATGGGGATAATAGAATATTTAGTTGTATCCAGTTGTCAATCAGAGCTCTGACTAGGAGGTCACAGTTCTCACAAACTGAAAATTTGCAAAACTGGTATTCACTAACTTAGATAAAATATGAATAAAGTAGTTTCTCTGGCACACATATTACAGTTTTTAAGCCAAGTTAATGAATTAATTACATTCCCAATTGAGACCATGTACTCATTATATATCAAGTCATACTATTTTGTAGTACTTTGATATGAAGTCTTATACCTCATTGAAATAATTAAAATCAAACAGCGAATGAATATAATAGTTATTGTTTCTATTTTATTAAGAGATAGAGTTATTGAAATATTTCCTAATGCCTTTTTTGACTGTTTTTTATTTTAAATAATTGCCGTGAAACAATTTTAAAGCAATAAATGGTTTAAATAAGTAGGCTAATTAGAGAAGAGTATAATATAAATGAATAAAAAAGTCTGATTTTCTTTTTTTTTTTTTTGGACGGAGTTTCACTGTGGTTGCCCAGGCTGGAGCACAATGGCGCAATCTCGGCTCACCACAACCTCCGCCTCCTGGGTTCAAGCGATTCTCCTGCCTCACCCTCCCGAGTAGCTGGGATTACAGGCCTGTACCACCATTCCCAGCTAATTTTGTATTTTTAGTAGAGACAGGATTACTCCATGTTGGTCAGGCTGGTCTCAAACTCCCGACCTCAGGTGATCCACCTGTCTCAGCCTCCCAAAGTGCTGGGATTACAGGTGTGAGCCACCATGCCCAGCTCAAATGTCTGAATTTTTAAATGCAGATTTACTAACTCAACATATATATATATACACACACACACACACACACACACATACATATACACACACTAATTTAAGCTAACTCTTACAAATATTTCTAAGCAGGGATTGTGTTATACTTGGAATATAATCATTATGGTGGGATTCTTAAAAATATGGGTCTAATTAAACTGGTCTTGATCAAGTATTTTCATTCTGCAAAAAGTAAACTTACTGCCAAAACAAATACGGAAATAGATAAAAAATTTGACAAGATTTTACTATTTGTATTGAAAAGTATTCCTAGGATTCAGTGACAAATGTGTAAAAATGAAGACTTTATTATTATTGGTGTTGTATGTTTTAACGCAACAAGAACTTGTTCCAGATATATTCCCATAGAAGTGGGAATGTATGAGGTTTTGGTATTGTTTTACATTGTTAGGTCATCTGTGGGTGACATGTTTTATATTCAGTGTAAATCTGGCCATTAGGTAAGTATTTGGAATCAACCAAGAACTTTCTCCCACATTTGTATTTTTAAAAATGAGAAACAGTTTTATTATAAAAATAAAAATAGTGCGTAAACCTATGGAAAAAATATCAAGCATAATCACGTCATCTTAGTAGAACTATCTTTTCTGTATTCTTTTTTTTTTTTTGAGATGGACTCTTGCTCTGTTGCCCAGGCTGGAGTGCGGTGGCATGATCTCAGCTCACAGCAACCTCCGCCTCCAGGGTTGTTCAAGCAATTCTCTTGCCTCAGCTTCCCAAAGAGCTGGGATTACAGGAGCCTGCCACCATGGCTGGCTAATTTTTGTATTTTTAGTAGATACAGGGTTTCACCATGCTGGGCAGGCTGGTCTCTTAACTCTCGAACTTAGGCGATCCACCCACCTCGGCCTCCCTCCCAAAGTGCTGGGATTACAGGCAGGAGCCGTGAGATACCGTGCCCAGTCTTTTGTATTATTTTCTAATCTTCTTCCATATGCATTTAAAACAGATTTTACAATTGCCAAATCCAGATACCAAATGCACTTCAAACATGTCTAAAGTCATAAGGAAAATCGATGCCTGCTCCTCCTTTTACGATTTTCGTGTTTATTATCTACCTTCTTTAGGCTTGATCAAACATCAAAATAATAATAAAAACTGCTCCAGAGATAGAATGTTCAGGCTTCTTGATGATATTAGGCATCTGAAAAATCAAAGGGTTAGGGCTTAGTATTATATACCAGTACCAAGATCTTTTTGAACTAAGTCACATAAAAATTCTTTAGTGTAGCTGGGTGCGGTGGCTCACGCCTGTAATCCCAGCACTTTGGGAGGCCTAGGCGGGCGGATCACGAGGTCAGGAGATCGAAACCATCCTGGCGAACACGGTGAAACCCCATCTCTACTAAAAATACAAAAAAATTAGCCGGGCATGGTGGTGGGCGCCTGTAGTCTCAGCTTCTCAGGAGGCTGAGGCAGGAGAATGGTGTGAACCCGGGAGGCGATGGAGCTTGCAGTGAGCGGAGATCGCGCCACTGCACTCCAGCCTGGGAGACACAGCGAGACTCCGTCTCAAAAAAAAAAAAAAAAAAAATTCTTTAGTGTAGATTCTGAACAGACAGGCCTTGCTATTAAAAAAAAAAAAAAAATCTATTCCCAGCACTTTGGGAGGCTGAGGCAGGTGGATCACCTGAGGTCAGGAGTTCAAGACCAGCCTGGCCAAGATGGTGAAACCCTGTCTCTACTAAAAATACAAAAATTAGCCGGGCATGGTAACAGGCACCTGTAATCCCAGCTACTGAGGAGGCTGAGGCAGAAGAATTGCTTGAACCCAGGTGGCAGAGGTTGCAGTGAGCCGAGATTGCACCACTGAACTCCAGCCTGGGCGACAGAGTGAGACTCCACCTCAAAAAAAAAAAAACAAAAAATCCTCATTGTAGCTATACTCTAAAACTTACGCTGGCTTGTTTATCTGGGAACACCTACATGTATTAATTCGTTGAAGATTTATGTCATGTATATAGTGTGGCCTCATCTCAAATTTTCATGTGCTTAATTTTGAAACGAGAGTCTACTGGATATTTCCTTTTCTGTTAGCAATTAGCAGCAGTAGTAATGAAAGAATATCTATAGAAAATTCTTTAAAAAAATCTAAAAATAATTTATTTTTGATGTTATAATACATTATTTAATTTTTATAGTAAATTCACTAATCTGTTTTGCTTAGACCAGTATGGAAGAAAAGCCAGACTCGGAGTTAACACTTTGTAAGTTTATCTACACTCTGTTCATCTGTGGTTGGCAATATTTGATGCAGTTTATATTAGATTTATGTTTTTGTTATTTAGATTGTTTGGAGCTGAGATGAGGACAAATTCGTCACTTTTAATTTTTTGTTTGCTCCCATATATTTATTATCATTTTTTCCAGCTCTCATGGGGGAATGTGCTTTCTACATAGGAAGTAAAACCAAAACTAAAGCACACGTCATAGCCAAGGAAAATAGACATAATGTTTTTAAAACAGACATAATACTTATAAGAAAATGTTTTGCTTTTGGAGTGCTTATAACATATGTTTGTTTATAGTTCTTTAAATTGTCCTAATAAAATTTATATCTCAAGGTTTTTCACTCCGTTCAAGAGACATGCACTGAACTTCTGAAGATAGTCGAGAAATACCAGCTAAGACTCAATGGTATGAAATCCTAGATATCTATCTGATAATTCCCATTTAAAATAAATATTAGCATTTTTTAAAATGAAAGATTTAATGTAATAGTAGAACAATTTTGTGAATAGCATCTTATGGCAGAATATGAATATTTACAGTGACCTGTTCTCAAAGGCGCCCCAGTATTCTCTCTTTTCTCCTCAGTTAATCAAATCCTCTAACCCAGATTTATGTTTTGCTGATATTCTTTTTTTTCTTTGAGACAGGGTCTTTCTCTATCACCCAGGCTGGAGTGCAGCGGTGCGATCACAGCTCACTACAGTCTCCACCACCTGGGCTCAAGTGATCCTCCCGCCTCAGCCTACCAAGTAGCTGGGATACCTGGCTAATTTTTGTACTTTTTGGTAGACACAGGATCTCACTATGCTGCCCAGACTGGTTTCAAATTCCTGGTCTCAAGTGATCCTCCTGCCTCAACCTCCCAAAGTGCTGGGATTACAGGTGTGAGTCACCATGCCTGGGCCTGCCCAGCATCTGAAATGGATTTGTTTCCATCACTTAAACCTCTCTTTCTTTTTTTTTTTTTTTTTTGAGACGGAGTCTCACGCTGTTGCCCAGGCTGGAGTGCGGTGGCGCGATCTCGGCTCACTGCAAGCTCCGCCTCCTGGGTTCCCGCCATTCTCCTGCCTCAGCCTCCTGAGTAGCTGGGACTACAGGCGCCCGCCACCGCGCCCGGCTAATTTTTTTTGTATTTTTAGTAGAGACGGGGTTTCACTGTGGTCTCGATCTCCTGACCTTGTGCTCCGCCCGCCTCGGCCTCCCAAAGTGCTGGGATTACAGGCTTGAGCCACCGCGCCCGGCCTTAAACCTCTCTTTCTTGACTCCCACTTGCCCTTGCAATTAAATTTAATTCCTCTGCTGCTGTTTACAGAAAAACATGATGTAATTGTCTGTATGCATGGTCTCTGTTCCTTTCCTTCCACTTTCTCTTGTACTCACTCCAGTCAAGTTTTCATCCGCATCACTCCACCAAATTTCTCTTGTCAAGGTCGTGATTAACCAACTCCTATCTAAATCTGGCTTATCACATTATTTAACACAGTTGATTATTTCCTATTCCTTGATACACTTTCTTCACTTGGCTTTCCGGATTTTCCTCCTCCTGGTCACTCTTTCTTGGCATCCTGCCTTTGCTGATTCTCTTCTCTCCTGGACCTGTTTGGGTTAAAACTCAATCTTTGGATCACTTCTCCTTTTTTAATTACCATGGGCCTGCTGGACATGGCGACCTCTCTAATCACACCTCCTAAAACTTTCTCCCCTTTAGCCATATTAATACCTTACATAGTAGGCATATCTGCATAGTGGAATCCCTAACTTCCTTTGTGTATTTGGTCAAATGTCATCTTTTTAAATGAGGCCCTCCCTGAACTGCATACCTAAAATGCAATACTCTCTGCCCTCAGAGGGTACAAAAAATACAGTACAATACAATGCAATGCAATGCAATACTCTTTTCTCTCAAAACTCCCTGTCCAGTTAACAATATTCAACATTCTATGTATTTTGTCCATTGTTTTTCTTCCCACCACTAGAATATGCCCTCCCTAAGGGCAGACTTTTTTTTTTTTTTTTTGAGGCGGACTCTCACTCTGTCGCCCAGGCTGGAGTTCAGTGGCGCAATCTCAGCTCACTGCAACCTCTGCCTCCTGGGTTCAAGCAGTGCTCTGCCTCAGCCTCCCAAGTAGCTGGGATTATAGGCGCTCACCAGCATGCCCGGCTAATTTTTGTGTTTTTAGTAGAGATGGGGTTTCACCATCTTAGCCAGGTTGGTCTTGAACTCCTATCCTTGTGATCCACCCACCTTGGCCTCCCAAAGTGCTGGGATTACAGGCGTGAGTCACTGCACCCGGCCAGGACAGAATTTTTCTGTTATATTTCTGTGTCTACAGTCTAGAAACAATGATCTAGCATGTAGTCAGTACTTGATAAATATTTGATTTCAATGAATCAATAATTTTTCTCATGTAGCTACGTAAATTAATCTGATCACTTTATAATCAGATCTTATATATTGTCCCATTAAAGAAAGAAATCCAATAAAGCATGATTATTCAAGTATTTTTTTGACTACCTGCCATGTGCTTTTCCCAAGGAAATAGTTGGAGAAACAACTTTTGTAACAAAAAGAGAGACAATATAAGTAGTATGTAATTGAGTTCAGAATAATGATATAGACATAACTGAATTCCTAGGAGTGAAAAATAACCATGGATTAGAGTAATTGGTAAAGACAACTCCATAGACAGGAATTGAGGTAAAACTTAAAGGATTTATAGAAGTTGAACATGTAGAGAAGAGACTTGGAGTTTAAAGAGCTTAAAGAATGAGAACAGCCTGCATGGACAGAAGAGTTTGTCATTGAAACTAATGGGAGGATAAAGGAACAAAGGAAATTTGGGGTCAGATTACTAATGACCTTATATATTTTACCAAGCAGTAAAAGGCCATCACAATCACTGGACCAAGTGAGTCCTGTCTTAGAAATGAAAATGTGAAGAAAATCAGCAAGTTTATATACCCTGAAATCACTGGATCTTTTAGCACTCTGGTAGAGCATTTCAGGATAAGGAAGAGATATACATATATAGATTTAATTGTGTATTTTCGCTTCAAGATTGTGTATAAATACGTGATTTCTTGAAGACATTTGTATTAATACATCTGTTGGGAGTAACATCAGACAAATGCAGTAGGTTAGTCCAGCACCATAAATTTATGGGAATCTCTTGACTGAGGGGAGAACACGTCAGGGAGGGGTCTCTGTAGATTTTGGCAGGCAGGTCTCAACATAGAAGCAGCAAAGATTCAGCCTCACTGACTGCCCTTTCTGCAATGATAAAGGTAAGCTTCAGTGATCATTTATGTTCAGTTGATAGTTGATAATGAAGTATTCCAAGTATTCAAAGTGCTTTCTGAACCACTATACCCAAATGAATATTTTCTAGTAGGTTTTTTGTTTTGTTTTGTTTTTGAGGTGGAGTCTCGCTCTGTCACCCAGGCTGGAGTGTAGTGGCATGATCTATGCTCACTGCAAGCTCCACCTCCCGGGTTCATGCCATTCTCCTGCCTCAGCCTCTCGAGTAGCTGGGGCTACAGGCGCCTGCCACCATGCCTGGCTAATTTTTTGGATTTTTAATAGAGACGGGGTTTCACCGTGTTAGCCAGGATGGTCTCGATCTCCTGACCTCGTGATCCACGCGCCTCGGCCTCCCAAAGTGCTGGGATTACAGGTGTGAGCCACTGTGCCCAGCCCTAGTAATTTTCATTGAGGTATATTTTATGACGTTCTGATTCAAAGGAAATGTGTAAACTGTACATCAGCATTAAATTAGCGTGACTCCCCAAACCGCATCTGCTCTGTATCAGGTCGGTTGTTCATGGTTTTATTAGAGATGAGACTACAGACTGTGTAGACACCTTCCTCATTACACCATTGTGCTCTCCTTGGGTCACTCTTACAGGCATGGCGGCGGGGACAGGGGGAGTGGGGAGGCAGCATGAGGAGGCCTGAGTTCTGTTGCTGCCCCACAAATAGCCAGGCATTTACCTTTCAGTTTTAAATTTTCTATGAAGTAGGATGAAATTAGGCATGACATTTGTTGTTGTTTATGTACTTTAAGCTTATAATTGGAGCGCAGTGGGTTTTCTCCCCTTATTAGTCTTACTGTGGTTACAGGATCAGCTTACACTAGATCAATATTTCTTAAATTGTGGTGAAGGACTTTTTTTTTGTTGCATGGTTTACTTTCAATCTGTTGTAAACTGATACCTTTGTAAAATTCAGTTAAAATGAATTTTTAGCTGAGCACTGTGACTCGTGCCTGTAATTCCAGTGCTTTGGGAGGCCAAGGTGGGAAGACGGCTTGAGGCTAGAAGTTTGAGACCAGCCTGGGCAACATAGTGAGACCCTGCCTCTAAAATAATTTTTTAAAAATTAGCCAAGCACTCATGCCTGTAGTCTAAGCTACTCAGGAGGCTGAGGCAGGAGGATCACTTGAGCCCAGGAATTCGAGGTTGCAGTGAGCTATGATCAAGCCACTGCACTCCAGGCTGGGCATCAGAGCAAGATCCCATCTTTTAAAAAAATAACTTTTAGAAAAATGAAATAAAATGCGTGAAAAATGTATTATAAGCTCACTTTATTAGATTTGACAAATGTAAAATGCTTAAAGTCTCTACACAGTTATTCTCAGTTTCCTTCCTTCTTTGCTTGTCACAGCTTGGTAACAGAGGATTCTGGACCAATACTGGTACATGGCCCACACTTTGAGCAGCAGTGCACTAGATGACAGTTTTTAGGGTTGCTGGAGCAGAACTGTGGACATCTGTGGGTCTGGGATACCAATCATAGGAAACTGAAGCCAGGATGGAGTCAAGAATGAATTAACAAGTTTAAATAGGAAACACTTTGTAAGAGGCAATTATCCTAAAATACATCTCTGCACATTTGAAAATGCATCATTTATGGCTTTGTTTTGTAGTTTTGAGAGATTTTTGTCACTAAAAATCAGTCCTTCTCAAAGCGAGGTCCATGGATTCACTGTGTCGAAACCATCTGGAGTGCTGATAAGAAGCCAGATTCCCTAGACCTATGGAAAGTAGAGTCTCTGGAAATGGAGCCCAGGAATTGCATTTAAAAAATAAGTCTCTCTTCTTCTTCCCCCAAGTAAATCTTGTATAGAAAGTTATTGCTGTGAGAATTGTAGTTGTGTATATGTTTTAAACAAATGATGAAAGGAAACAATTAACTACACTGTAATTTTTTTCCTAGTTATATCAGAGGAAGAAAATGAGCTAGGGCTCTTTTTAAAGTTTCAAGCGGAACGGGATGCAACTCAAGCTGGCAAAATGATGGACGCCACTGGCAAGGCACTTTGTTCTTCAGCCAAGCAAAGGTTTACCATGGTGGTTCATTATCTTGAATCTGTAGTCAATCTGACAGTTTTGACATATGTACTTAAATTTGCATATTTGTAAAGGTCACTGTTCATTCTAATAAAGGGTTAAAGAGAAATATACCACAGTTATATGTTTTGATACCTAATTCTTAATTACTAATTTTGTATTCAAAATAATTATTTAATGATTGATGTTCTTTTATTTCCCCTAAAATCAGACAAGTGTCAGTTATATTTCTCAACTGGTTTAATGTAACAGTCACAGAATGACTAACATCTTAAAAATGTGTATTTCCAATTTCACTTTTTGATACCATACTATAAATACAGTGGTACTTTTTAATTAGAAAATTTTTTTCTTCTTAATTACATAGTTTCCAGTTATTATTTCAGTTTCTAATATAATGATACCTACTGCAAAGCATCTCCTATAATTACTAAACCGAGCCCAAATCTTTAGCATTTAAGAAGAATAAAACAGTCCTTATCAGACCTATAATGATGGTATCCAATTTATATAGCTTTATTCTGAAACATCACGTCAGTGCAGAAGTCTATCTTGAAGGAAGTGACATGGAGGTACTAAGTACAGGGCCCTCCAATGGCCACTAAGCAAAAAGGAGGAATTGGATTTAATTTGTGTTTCTTAAATACTTGTTATCTTGTCCTCATCCTCAGCTGCTAAGAACTCCATACTCATTAGTTCTCCTAGCATCTCATCTACTCTTCCAAACCCAGGTTTTCCCTGAACTTGTCAAATGAAAGGCTTTCTGTTAATTGGATTATGCTTTATGAATGCAGGTTCTTTGTTCCTCTCAGAACTGTTTTCTAAATGGCACATTTACTTCTCAGGTTATTTATACATGGAATAACATCCAGAGTAGTGCAAAATGACTTATTTCCTAAAGTAATACTGGGGGAGGTTTAGACACTTTTTTTTTTTTTTTTTTGAGGTGGAGTTTCACTCTGTTGCCCAGGCTGGAGTGCAGTGGTGCCATCTCGGCTTGCTGCAACCTCCACTTCCCGGGTTCAAGTGATTCTCCTGCCTCAGCCTCCCGAGTAGCTGGGATTACAGGCACCCGCCCACCATTCCCGGCTAATCTTTTGCATTTAGTAGAGACAGGGTTTCGCCATGTTGGCCAGGCTGGTCGCAAACTCCTGACCTCAGGTGATCTGCCCGCCTTGGCCTCCCAGAGTGTTGGGATTACAGGCGTGAGCCACCGCTCCCGGCCAACACATATTTATTGATAATTCAGAGTTGGCTATATGATCCTTATTTGCTTTCAAAATCTCCTTAGGGAACTTAATAAATTTTTACTTGTAGATTCATCTTGTTAGCAAATATGCTTTGTCATTGGTTTAAACTTTGTTTTGTTTTACTTATGATGTGTTCAACCCTCTGATTTTTACCTCTCTGCCATTAGATTGGCCCTGTGTACTCCTCTGTCTCGTCTGAAGCAAGAAGTAGCAACATTCAGCCAAAGGGCGGTATCTGATACCTTGATGACAATTAATCGGATGGAGCAGGCGCGCACAGAATACAGAGGAGCTCTGCTGTGGATGAAAGATGTATCCCAAGAGCTGGACCCAGACACCTTAAAGCAAATGGAAAAGTTTAGAAAAGTATGAAAATGTATCCTTTTCCTTTTCTTGGTGTATGAAATATGGAACTGCCACAGAATAATTAAGATAATAAAATTTCAGGTGTTTGTTGAGAAATATATGTTTCATTATACATTCTTGGTTGCTTGGAGACTGTAGTTGAAGTACAAAAGTTTATCACACTTTTATTTTTACTCCTGGAGTGGCATCTTCACACCGTCTACCTTTTTTATTAATTTTTTAAATCTGTTTCATGATAGATCTAAATTACCTCTTAAATGTGCTTGCTTGAACTTTTGAGATTCGTTGCAGGAAGAAAATAGTTTATTACAGAGGGACAAAAGTAATTTAAGTAAAAACTCATGTAAAATGATTATTAATTATAAGAAAATATGAAGGTTATCTAAATTTTTATTCTGTCACAATACAAAGTTTGGCCAGAGACTTCATATGTTTTTGCTAAATAAACTCCTTATTATAAATTATAACCCCTCATTGTATGATACATAAATAACAAAATTCATTTTACCATTCATTTCATAAATAGAGACCCCATAATAAAAATAATAATATTTAATTCTGATGGAGCCATGACTCTGGGCCAGATGTTAAGTGGTTTGCCTCATTGATTACACACAACAGCCCTATGAAGTAGGTGAATACATGGCCTTAGGCCACAACAACCTCGTATTCCATCCCTTTTACATCCTTTGACAGAATACAGTCCAAGGGAGTGATTGAACAACATTGTGAATGCGCTAAATGCCACTTAATTGAACACTTTAAAATTGCTAATTGTATGTTATGCAACTTTCACCTCAATTTTTAAAAGAAGAATAATGTATTAGTCTATTTTCATGCTGCTGATAAAGACATACCTGAGACTGGAAAGATATTTAATGGACTTACAGTTCCATGTGGCTGGGGAGGCCTCACAATCATGGTAGAAGGCAAGGAAGAGCAAGTCACGTCTTACATGGATGGTGGCAGGCAAAAAGAGCTTGTACAGGGAAACTCCCCCTTTTAAAACTATCAGATCTTGTGAGACTTACTATCACAAGAACAACATGGGAAAGACCTGCCCCCATGATTCAATTATCTCTCACTGGGTCCCTCCCATAACATGTGGGAATTCAAGATGAGATCTTTGCAGGGACACAGTCAAACCACATCAAATACAATCCAAGTCCCTATCTGGACCCTAAAAACCCTGCATGGCCTGATCTCTGGTCCCTCCACAACCACATGTTGTACTTGCTTCCTACACTCCAGGAAGAATGTGCTCTACCTCCTTGCTGCTTGTTCTTCTAACATGATAAGGTCTTCACCCCCTACCACTCTCAGAACCTTTGTCCTTGCTTGTCCCTAGTTCTGAAATGCTCTCCCCAGGGTCTTAGCATAGTCTGCTCATCATCTTTCTGTCCCAGTTCAAACATCATGCACGATCTCACCAGGGACTTTCATGTCATCAGTCATTCATTTCTGTTTACTTATTTGCTACTTTTGCAACTATATATTTATTTACTTCTTTTTTTCGTGTGCCTCCCTACCCAAGGATGGTGGGGAAGAACATTGTTTTGTTCACCACAGTATCTCAGAGCCTAGAACAATGCCTTGCATATAATAGGTACATTTGTTGAATGAATATATTAAAAAGTTGAGTATTCACACTACCTGATGGCATGACTCACCATTTATTCAAGAAATACAATAGGCCTCTACTGGAATTTATAAATATCTGCATGATTCAGAAATATTATTAATATTTCTCAGTGCTTTAACGAGGTCCCCTTTCCATTTATTCTTCTGCTCTTAGCTAAGTGCTATCTATGAATAGTTTTAAATGTTTCTTTTTATTTGGAATAGTTTTTTAAAAACGATTTGCTTTCCATCTATTATCTCATACTTTCTCAGCATAAAGATATCTTCTGGAAAGAATCTCCTACAATTACTAACAGTAGCCAAAATCTTCATCATTACTCATGAAATATTAATGATACAGGGAAAAGGAATTAGTCTTTATTATAATTTATTTCTGAAACTATTATGAACCTTGTACTATATTTATACTATATATCTGTAATAAAAATTAGCATTTTATTGCAGGTACAGATGCAAGTGAGAAATAGCAAAGCTTCTTTTGACAAGTTAAAGATGGATGTTTGTCAGAAAGTGGATTTACTTGGAGCTAGTCGCTGCAATATGCTATCTCATTCGCTCACTACCTACCAGGTACCCACCTCCATGGTCAGCATGTCCTTGCAGTAAAGATGAGTGGTGAGATTCCTTTTTAAAAGTTGTCTAGAGGGTGCAAAAAACTATGTGTGATTAGATTCCTTTGAATAGCAGTGTTGGGCTTAGAAACCAAAGTTTTCTAATTCTAAGTTCTATGTTCTTTTCATTCTGCCAAGTTGCCATCCTGTATCACTTTAACCTCAGAAGTCTCACTTGTGCTTATATTACCACAAATCACATATAAATAACACACAATGAATAAGTTAGATATTAATAAGCAGTTATTGATTTTTACATATATTTTTAAATGGAAAAAATTGAATAAACTGTACTTACATAAGAAAAGAGTAATAAATTACAGGAAATGGACATTAACTCCTGCTTTTAGGGAGTCTGCCTATTTCAGTTCAGTACTGTGGGATTCAGGAATGGAGAAAGGATGCACTTGAAAATAACTGTGTGTGATATCTGTTTAGCATCTTGCCTGAAAGACAACAGCTATGAGTTCAATTCTCCTTTATTCTCTCCATTCATCCCCCTCACTTTAATCAGGAACCCTGAAGCAGCGAGGAAAATTTCCAATTACTTGAGTTAGCTTGAGAACACATTTTTTGGCAAATCTCTCTTGAACTCTAGATGAAAGGCCAGATTTAGTGAATGTAATTTTTAGTGGTAAATGTAATTTTTCTCCAATTAAAAAGTTTTATATATTCCCATTAATATAAAGATTACACATGTGTCCCTCCTTTAACAGAGACTGGTATTTTTGTGCTTTTAACATTTCTCTTTTTGATATCTCAGATGTTCTAATCCCTAAGTTTTCATTCTCTTAGCTGCAGTTACTCTCTAGGTGGCTCCAGTGTGCATTCCTGTGCTATTTATACCGATAACACCCACACCTGCAGACAAAGATGCCAATTCTTATGCACAATCACTATTTGCAGTGCTTTATGGTTCCGAAAACTTGGAAAATTGAATTTAGTTCCTGCTGCTTCTTACTTGGCAACTGTTCATCTACTAAACTAGTAAGGAAATATAGCACTTAAAAAATCATGGAGGTGAAGGAGAACTGTAGTGTCACCTTTTCTTTTTTTGCAGAGAACACTGCTTGGATTCTGGGAGAAAACAGCTCGAATGATGTCCCAAATTCATGAAGCCTGTATTGGCTTTCATCCATATGATTTTGTAGCTCTCAAGGTACATTGCGTTCCATGTTCTCTTGTTTAGATGTATTACACTTCATTTAGGTGATAACATTGAAACTTTTTTTTTTTTTTTTAACCAAGGTTAATTTAAAATTTACAAAACATTGAGAAACATTCTCCTTCAGCCAAGGGTCAGCATTTTCCTAATTGCAAATGCTGCCAGCAACACTGAAATACATAGGAATACTGCTGGCAGGCTCAAGATATTAGTAGGACAGGGAAAAAGAGGGAGACAGTAAAAAGAGAATTTAAATGCAAAGGAGATAAGAAAAGGCTATGGAAAGGAAAAACTTAAGAGGAACAAGTGATGGAAAGTGGTCATGTGTTCTCAAAAATGAACAGATTACCTACCTGACGATATTAGAAGTTACAGAAAAACTTTGTTTTACTTTTACACTGATGTCATGGATATAGTTCATGATACCAACATTATGCCAGGTTTCAGTACCTTTTAACTTACCATTCATTCTGCCTTATTTTCAGTAAAGCTTGAAAGTGTTGCTGGCTGGTTTGTTCAAGCTGGATGTGGTATTTGTGATAGGCTCATATCTTGTATATTTCTGGGGTTTAGGATGAACATAAAGTCATGTTCTGATATGGCATCTTCCAGCCCCAAAGATGCCCTTGAATTAGGTTGTTTTTTGTTTTGTTTTATTTTGACTTTTTATATAATAAATGCGTTGCTGTATGGCATACTGTGTATTTAGGCAAATTTTATATCCAATTTCTGCTCAGAATCAAAATTGAAAATCTTTAGCTGTATTTAGAGCATTGCGATACAGACTAGCAACACAGTTTAAGTGTTCTTTAGGCCTATTACTAAGTCGTTAAACTAATCTGTGGCTACCCCACATCACAGTATGTGCAGTTTGCACAGGCAGCCAGGAGAAACAAGTATATGAAGCTCAGTAGCTCAGTTCAGATTACAATAGCATACATGTCCTATATCTTTCACTCTCTAGTTCGGAACTTCCTATTTCATATGGTTCTTTAGAATTTATATTCTCATTTTCTTTGCAGAGAGGAAGAAACAGTCTTTCTATTTACTTAACATTGACTTTCTTATCCTTAGCAACTACAAGACACTCCAAGCAAGCTTACTGAAGACAATAAATATGAACAAATAGGCGGTTTTCTTACTGAACAGCTCAATAAGTAAGCAGGCATAAGTCATCTGTGTCATGTTATAGAAGTCCTGGATACCATCATATGATACATGTGGAAAGAATTGTTTCTTCTCTTACTGAATATTTATTTCTATGTCATTTTTCCAATCAACACTAAACATTTGTGTCATAGTCTGTTTTGCTATAACAGAATACCTGAGACAGGGAAATTTATAAAGTAAAAAAGTTTAGCTCATGGTTCTGCAGGCTGGGGAGTTCAAGGGCATGACCCTGGTTTCTGGTAAGAGCTTTAGTGCTGCTTCATAACATGGCAGAAAAGGTCAAAGGGGAAGCAGACCTGTGTGAAGAGGCAAAATCAAGGGGCGTGCTGGCTGTGTAACAACCCATTCAGAAGCATTCCTGAGAGAACTAATCCAATCTCATGAGAGTAAGAACTCACTCATTACCATGAAAAAGGCACTAAACCATTCATGAGGGATCTGCCCCCATGACCCAAACACCTCTTACTAGGTCTCCACCTCCCAATACTCCCACACTGAGGTTGGGGTCAGATTTCAACAAGAGTTTTGATGAGGAGAAATTCAAACCTTAGCAATTTGTTTTGAAACCATATATATATATATTTTTTTTTCCATTTTTTTCTTAATATCTAGATCCTACACAAATTTTTTACATTTTTTAACATAGCAGACAAAGGACATGACAGGAGTATCAAACTGATTGGGGTCATTAAGAGTCTGTCATTTGGGATACTGAGCCTTGTATTAAGAGCCACAAGTACCTCTAGTGACTCTTGAAATGGGCAGCTAGAGAGAATAAAGGGACAGGTACCAGCATCTGTGAAATAAACTATGAGAAATCTATTTCCAGAATAACATACATAGGACTGGGACTGGTTACCTGAAAATATGGGCTGTTGCCATGTACATCCTTCATGTCCCCTGTTTCCCTTTTATTATATTGTCCCTTTGTTTTTCTTTCAAAGCTGCTATTTAATTCTCATTTTAACCAGATTCAGTATATTAACGAACTCAGAAATAAGGGCCAGTGATAAACCATATATTGTTGAGTAGAAGGTGATCATGAGAGAGTGGTTTGTTATAAAGCCCAACGCGCCTTGGAGTTTGCCTCTTGGCATGTGTCCACTTCCCCTTTGACCTTCTCTACCATGTTATGATGCAGCACTAAAGCCCTTGTCAGAAGCCGGGGCCATGATCTTTAACTTCCCAACCTGCAGAACTAAATCAACCTCTTTTCTTTATAAATTACTCAGTCTCAGGTATTCTGTTATAGTAATACAAAATGAACTAAGACACAAATGTAACATAAGACATTTTCCCATCTTCTCTATGAGGAAATCCAAACCAATTTTTTTTGCTAATTTGAATGTATAAATGTTTTAAGATAAACATTGATCAAATGTCTAGTTATAAATTAAATTTGTGAATTTATATATTGACTTTTGACTTTTTTTTTTTTTTTTTTTTTTTTGACAGTGTCTCACTCTTTTTGTCCAGGCTGGAGTTCAGTGGCACAATCTCAGCTCACTGCAACCTCCCCCTCCCAGGTTCAAGCGATTCTCCTGCCTCAGCCTCCCGAGTAGCTGGGATTACAGGCATGCACTACTAAGCCCAGCTAATTTCTGTATTTTTTAGTAGAGATGGACTTTCACCATGTTGGCCAGGCTGGTCTCGAACTCCTGACCTCAAGTGATCTGCCCACTTCAGCCTCCCAAAGTGCTGGGATTACAGGAGTAAGCCACCACGCCTGGCCTATATTGACATTTAAAATCATATGTTACATGAACTATGTTAATTTAGTAAAATTTTTCCATTCTCACATTTCACAAGAGTTTTATTCAAAATCCTCTCATGTATCTTTAGCATTATGAGAGCTACTTTTCAAGTTAACTAGTAGATAGCCAAGCTCTTCACTTCTCTTCCATCCAGGTTCTTTAAAAAAACATAATACTGTTAGGGAAAATTTCATTTCAGGTCATGAGTATTTATTTGCTCTGTAGGTTTATTTGTGTAGTATTTACAAGTAAATACTGTATAGATTTTTAAGTATCTTTAAAGATTTATTAAAAACAACTTTCAATACTAGCAACTGTGAGGTGATGCCCCAGGTGTAGTGAGTATGTCTGTGTTCAAATTTATTTTTCTTTCTTTTTTTTTTTTTTTTTTGTTTTTAGACAGAGTCTTGCCCTGTCACCCAGGCTAGAGTGCAGTGGCACGATCTCGGCTCACTGCAATCTCCACCCCCCAGGTTAAAGCAATTCTCCTGCCTCAGCCTCCTGAGTAGCTGGGATTACAGGCACGCACCACCACACCTGGCTAATTTTTGTATTTTTAGTAGAGACAGGGTTTCACCATGTTGGTCAGGCTGGTCTCGAACTCTTTACCTCATGATCCGCCTGTCTCAGCCTCCCAAAGTGCTGGGATTACAGGCGTGAGCCACTGTGCCCGGCCCAATTACTTTGTCTTAACTTTTTCTTTATTATATCAGATAGATGCTATAAATACCCAAAATTAGTATTGATTGAGGATATTTTAGGCTGATGTGTCTTGCAAACATCACTTAGTTGTTCAAAATAGGGTACTACATCTTTTCTAGAGTTCTTCATTCCCTTGATTTAGTTCACAAGTGTTCTTAAAACCTTTCAAGGCTTGAAAATGAAACTTCTTATTCTATGACTTTGATGGTGAAGGTTCTTGAAGATTGAGTACTGAGCGTGATGCCTGGTGCTTTGTAGATACTCAGTAAATGTTTATTGAAGGAATAAGGGGTGAAATGTCTGTATAGATCTATAAAAAAAGTAGGAAATTTACCAGATGTAGATTTTAGGGGATCTAGTGGACAATTTTATGTTTTCTGAGTAGAAAATTCTTTTTAACCATATAAAACTGTTTGGGGAATATAATTCACAAGTGTATTATAACAAAAAATCTACATTTTTTTTGTTTTTACTTCAGGCTAGTTTTGTCTGATGAGGAAGCAAGCTGTGAGAGAGAACAAGGTAAGATGGTAAATTTATTACTTTGAAATGGTCACATTTTAAATGTCAAAATAGTTTATCACAGCCTTTTTTTTTTTTTTTTTTTTTTTTTTTTTTGAGACAGAGTCTCGCTCTGTCCCTCAGGCTGGAGTGCAGTGGCTCGATCTTGGCTCACTGCAAGCTCTGCCTCCCTGATTCACACCATTCTCCTGCCTCAGCCTCCCAAGTAGCTGGGACTACAGGCACCCACCACCACGCCCGGCTAATTTTTTTTGTATTTGTAGTAGAGACAGGGTTTCACTGGGGTAGCCAGGATGGTCTAGATCCCCTGACCTTGTGATCTGCCTGCCTCGGCCTCCCAAAGTGCTGGGATTACAGGTGTGAGCCACCGTGCCCGGCCTCCGTCAGCTTTTGTTTTGTCTGGGCAAGTCTTTGTTTCTCCTTCATTTTTGAAGGATATTTTAGCTGGATATACTATTCTTGGGTAAAAGTTTTTTTCCTTCAGCAGTTTAAATGTCATGCCACTTTCTCCTGGCCTATAAGGTTTCCACTGAAAAGTCTGCTGCCAGACATTTTGGAGCTTTATTGTATGTGATTTGTTGCTTTTCTTTTGCTGCTTTTGGGATCTTTTCTTTATCCTTGACCTTTGGGATTTGATTACTAAATGCCTTGAGGTAGTCTTCTTTGTGTTAAATCTGCTTGGTATTCTATAACCTTCTTGTACTTGGATAGTGATATCTTTCTCTAGGTTTGGGAAGTTCTCTGTTATTACCCCCTTTGAATAAACTTTCTACCCCATCTCCTTCTCTACCTCCTCTTTAAGGCCAATAACTCTTATATTTTCCCTTCTGAGGCTGTCTTCTCGATCCTATAGGCATGCTTCATTGTTTTTTATTCTTTTTTCGTTTTTGTTTTTTGAGACAGAATTTGAATCTGTCGCCCAGATTCGAGTGCAGTGGCACAATCTTGGCACACTGCAACCTCTGCCTCCCAGGTTCAAATGATTCTCCTGCCTCAGGCGCCTGCCACCACACCCAATTTTTTTTTTTTTTTTTTTTTTTTTTTTTTGAGATAGAGTTTTGCTCTTGTTGCCCAGGCTGGAGTGCAATGGCACAATCTCAGCTCACGGCAACCTCTGCCTCCTAGGTTCAAACGATTCTCCCCTGCCTCAGCCTCCCAAGTAACTGGGATTACAGACATGTACCACCATGCCTGGTTAATTTTGTATTTTTAGTAGAGACAGGGTTTCTCCATGCTGCCCAGGCTAGTCTTGAACTCCTGACCTCAGGTGATCCACCCGCCTGGCCTCTCAAAGTACTGGGATTACAGGCATGAGGCACTGCACCTGGCCTATTCTCTTTTCTTTTGTCTTCTCTGACTGTATTTTCAGATAACGTGTCTTCAAACTCACCGATTCTTTCTTCTGCTTGATCAATACTCCTGTTGACTCTGATGCATTCTTCACGATATCAGTTGAATTTTTCAACTCTGGAATTTCTGCTTGATTTTTAAAAGTTATTTTAATCTGTTTGTTAAGTTTACCTGATAGGATTCTGAGTTCCTTTTCTGTGTTATCTTGAATTTCATTGAGCTTCCTCAAAACAGCTATTTTGAATTCTCTCTCTGAAAGGTCACATATCTCTGTCACTTCAGGATTGGTCACTAGTACACTATTTAGTTTGTTTGGTGAGGTCATGCTTTCCTGTATGGTCTTGATGCTTGTGGATATCTGTCGATGTCTGGGCATTGAAGAGTTACATATTTATTAGTCTTTGTAGTCTGGGCTTGTTTGTACCTGTCCTTCTTGGGAAAGTTTTCCAAGTATTCAAAGAGCACTGAGTTGTTATCATCTAAATCTTTGGTCATGATAGCTGTATCTGCATTGGGGGTGGGGCACCCCAAGCCCAGTAATGCTGTGGCTCTTGCAGAATTGTAGAGATACTGCCTTGGTGGTCTTGGGTAAGATCTGGGAGAATTCCCTGTATTACCAGGCAGAGACTCTTGTTCTTTTCCCTTACTTTCCCCCAGACACGTGGAGTTTCTCTAAAGCCAGCAAAATACTGGGTCTCACCCTGGGCCCCCAGTTACCACTGCTTGGCTACTGCCAATATTCACTCAAGGTCCAAGGGCTCTACCATCAGCAGGAAGCAAATCCAGCCTGGCTTGTGTCCTTCCCTTCAGGGCGGCAAGCTACTCCCCAGCCTACAGCAGATACCAGAATGCCATCTGGGAGCCAGGGCCTAGAGTCAGGAACCTTAGGAATCTGCTTGGTTCTCAATTCTACACCACCTGAGCTGACACCCAAGCTGTAAGACAAAATCCTTCCCACTCTTCCCTCCTTTCCCTCATGTGGAAGGAGTCTCTCCCTGCAGCAGGTACTGCCTGGCTATCGCTGATATTCACCCAAGGCCCAAAGGCTCTTCAGTCAGCTTGTGGTGAATGCTGCCATGTGTAGGACTCTCCCTTCAAGGCAGTGGGCCCCCCTTTAGCCCAGGGCAGGTCCAGAAATGCCATCCAGAAGCCAAGGGCTAGAACTGAGGACCCCAGGTGACTTCTTGGTTCTCTACCCCACTGTGGCCAAGCTGGTGCCCAAGCTGCAATAAAAAGTTCCTTTTACTTTTTCCTCTCCTTACCTCAAGCAGAGGAAGTCTGTCCCTGTGGGCACCATAGCTTGGAATGCACTGGGTCACACCTGAAGCCAGCACAGCCCTCGGTCTTACCCAAGTGCCATGGTGAGGACTGCCTGGGTGCTGCTGATGTTTATTCAGGGCCCAGGTTCTCTTAGTCATCAGGTGATAAATCCTTCCAGGACTGGGTCCTTCCCTTTAAGGCAGTGCATTCCCTTCTGGCACCGGGTATGTCTAAAAATGTGATCTGGGAGCTAGGGTGTGGAATGAGGGCCTTGGGACTCTACCTTCTCCCCTATCCTACTGTGGCTGAGCTGGTATCCAAGTTGCAAGACAAAGTCCCCTTTACTCTCCTTTCTCCTCGCCTCAAGCGGAAAGGAGTTTCTCCTGGAGCTGTGAGCTGCACTGCCTGGGATTGGAGGAGGGGTGATGTAAGCACTTCCTTGGCTGGCTGGCTGGCTGGCTCATATCTCACTAGGTCACATGTCCCCTAACTCCACTGGCTCCAAGCCCAGCACAGCACCAGGACTTGCCTGGGAATTGCAGTGCTTGTGGCCTAGACTGCCTTTCAAGTTTATTTAGAACCCCACAGTGCTTTAGCTTGCCATGGTGGGGCTTGCTGGAACTCAGATTCTGACCAGTGGGATGGGTGGTTCCCCTCTGGCTGGGGCTGGTCTAACTGCCCCCTCTGTGAGTACTGGCTGAATTCTGCCCCATGTTGCTTTCAGCTGTGGCAGGCATCACTGAGTTCTAATGCAAAGTTCCACAATCACTGCACTCTACCTCCCACAAGCATAGATTCTCTCTCCACACCATGTGGCTGCTGCCAACAGATGGTGGAATGGTGGTGTTGGCAATTCAACACTGTCTTTCCTATCTTCTTCAGTGCCTCTTTCAGTGATATGTGGTTAAAACCAGGTACTGTGATCTCTCACCCAATGTTTAGTTGTTATGAAGGTTCTTTCTTGTATGGATAATTGTTCAATTTGGTGTTCCTGTGGGGTATAGAGGGGAAATGATGGCTGGAGAGTTCTATTAAGCCAACTTGCACTGCCTTCTCTCCCCAAAGATAGGTGCTTTAAAATGCAAAAGTCCAGTTTATAGGATTGCATGATTAAGTTTTGAGTTTTCCCTCATACTGAAATTTGTGTTGTTTTTAAAAAATAAATACATGTTACATATACAGTCAACATACATTTGAACCACGGTGGTAAAGAAGAGTACAGGCTTTGGAAACAGAAAAATCTGAGTTTGGATCCTGGCTTTTTAAAACATATCATTTATGGCTCTCTCAGTTGTGTCATATGAAATAGGAGTTATTTATGCCTATCTTACCAGGGACATTAGGGATAGAGGTAATATTGACAAACTCCATAGCACATAGTGACTAATAAATAAAAGAAAGAATACTTAATTAATTTATTTTTTTTGAGACAGAGTCTCACTCCTGTCAGCCACGTTGGAGTGCAGTGATACAGTCATGGCTCACTACAACCTTGACTTCCCGGGTTCAGGTGATCCTCCCACCTCAGTCTCCCGAGTAGCTAGGACTATAGGTGTGTGCTACCTTGCCCAGCTATTTTTTTGTATTTTTTTTTTGGAGACTGAGTTTTGCCATGTTGCCCAGGCTGATCTCGAAGTCCTGGGCTTAAAGCAATCTGCCCACCTCAGCCTCCCCAAGTGCTGGAATTTACAGGTGTGAGCCACAGTGCCCAGCCGAGGTATTTTCAAGTACACACATAAATAGATTATACTGATAAAAGAAACAATGTAAGAGACCATTGTAATCATGAACTCGTATACCTAACCTAGCTTCAAAATATATGTTCAAAAGGTTAGCTAATTGCATTTGCATATGATCCTATATCCCACAAATACAGAACATTTTTTAAGTCACAAAGGAAATATAACGAACATTGCTGTAGTCTCAACATCTATTCATGCTATTATTTTATCTTTTAAATTTTGCCATGTCAGTAGTTATCTCCCCTTTTAAATTTCAGATATTCATTTGTTCCTTCTCTTTTTTTCTTGATTAATCTTGCCAGTGGTTTATTATTATTATTCTTTTAGCCAACCAACTTTTGACTTTGTTAATCCTCTCTGTTGAATCTTTTATTTTCGGTTTTATAAATTTTAGTTCCTATATTTATTATTTTCTTCTCTTTACTTTGATATTTTTCTTTCTGGTTTGTTGTTGTTGTTGTCTTGCTTTGTTGCCAAGGCTGGTCTTGAACTCCTGGCCTCAAGTGATCTCCTGCCTCAGCCTGCTCAAGTGCTGGGATTACAGATGTGAGCCACCATGCCCAGCCATCTTTCTTTCTTTAAGGCTGTATTTCCCTCAAAATTTTAATTTTCCTATATCTTACAAGTTTTCTTTTAAAACAGCTTTAT